GTCTCCTGCTTCTTCTTCTTTGTCTCGGCTTCCTTCAACTTCTCCTTCAACTTTTGGTGCATCAACTTCCTTTTCCCGGCGCCCGTAGGCTCCACCTCCTGATTCTGCCCCTCTTTGCCAGCCTCTTTGACTCCACTGGACGGCAACGCAAGCAGCAAAGTGATGAATGCCGGGTCGCCGATCACCTGCTCCAAGGCTACGTCCGCGAGCCTCCGGTGGCATCTCTGCCCAGGTCTCCTTGGATCCGCTCGCTCATCAGCTTCCACGCACGCCTATCGGCAGCTGTCACCTGTGGTAGGGTGACTTGGCTGTAGCCTGGAGGCGGCTCTCTCTGGTACTCCTGGAAGAGCTTGTCAACCAACTTCTCATGGATGGTGAATGTCATCACATCAGCCACTTCCAGCGCCAGGCCTCGCCGTAGGCCTGACGAAGCCGCAGATCCGTCCTGGTATCTGCATCTGGGATCTTCGCCTCATCGTGGGCTCGTAGATGTCCACTTGCGTCCCTCTTGATCAGCTCCTCGGTCTTGATGTTCTGGAGCTCCTGATCCCTCGTTGGTGCAAGGTACTTCAACTCACCCTCAACTTTCATGGAGTGAAACTTGTCGACCGCATGGTGCGCTGGCTCAAGCTGGTCGTTGATCTGCAAGTGGCCGTAGGTTGCCCGCAGCGTAGCCCATCGCGTTTTGCGTTCCACAGCAGGCAGCTTGCGGGTCTTGGAGCCATCGGCTTCTTGCGTGCCCTCGAGACGTTGCCTGAGCTCTGCTGCCACCACCGTGTATGCCTCATGATAGAGCTTCCTGAGCTTTGGTAGATCGGCATGATCCGCTCTGCCCAGGATTGGAGTAACCACCTGGGTGATGAAAGCAGCATCGTCTCCTGCTCCTGGGGCCCAGCTACTCGAAAATGCGAACGTGGATAACCCGCGCCGGGCCATCTCATCTTTGTAAGCATCCAGCCCGAGGTCCTTCACCTGCGCTGCGAACATGGCTGTCGACTCCGTCAGCGTGGCCATGGCGAACTTCGAAACCCGCCCGGCCTGCACTTCGAGCCACACTTCACTGCGTTCGCCCAACCACTTGCTCTTTACTTACTTTCGGATCAACTCCTTCTCTGCAAGCAAACTAAACATCACTCCTGACCCTCATGACTCGCTCGGCCTCTACTTAGACGTCTTCTCCTGCGACGGCCCCTGCGCAACTCTCCTGTCACCCGGCTGTCCTCCATCGCGCACTTCCATCGACAGGACGTCCCCGTCCAACTTGACCTGATCCGGACTACCCGAACACAGGTCCAACTTGTGAACTTCTCCCACGCACTCACTTAACTTGGTCTGTTGTAAACAACCGTTTTTCTGCGACTTCTCACCTACTTACACTTAATCACTTACTTGCTCTCACATGACTTTCTGACGCACTCGACTAGTGGTGTACTGGTGCACGGACAAGTACGAAACACATCACTCTGTCACTGCGAACGGCTGACTTTTCTCCTCACTGCTCCCACGATCTTCCCGGGTACTTCACCTCGGGTAACCTTCACACACTTTACATCTACTTCCTAGGGCATGGATCTCCTCCGTGAGCTTGAACATCACTCCCGAGATCGGTCTTCCGCAGGCCACCTTTCCCTCCACCGTACTTCCATGGTGGATGGTTCCCGTGATGCCATGCCTGTACAAGTCGTCATTCGACCTCTTCGGAGGGCCCAACCTGCTGCTCATGACCGCCTCGATGTTCCGCTCATCCTGACTCTCATCGTCCTCCTCCTTGGACTCTTCCGACTCACTTGAAGAGTTCCCTGCCTCTACCAGCCTGAGCATGTTCTTCTCACGCGTGTCTCTCAACTTCAGAAGCATCTGAGCCCAAGCCACACCAGTGACCCCTATCTCTGGCGCCACCACCGGGAGAACTCTGCAAGCCCTGCCAGCTATCGAGTCCGTCTTGCGCGAGGAGGTCCCTCCTTCGAGATAGCCACCATCCACCACTGGCTCATGCTGGATTCCTTGGCTGTCCCCGAACCTGAGCCCTGAGCCTCCCATAGATGCAGACCAAGCAGTGGCCTGCAAACACTCGATCCTGCAGGTGTAAATTCTCCACATAGCAGCCTCTCCAGGATGCCCACTTGATGCACTGTCAATGCATCCCTCTGGCGCAGCACCCTCTTCGTCAAGAAGCTTCTGTGGGCAGAACCTGAGATCCTGCCACTTTGAAGGATGTCATCAACACCACCCAACTGGATCGTCCCTTTGCAAAATGCCAGGGCGCTCCTGAAGCTGCTGGCCCTCGTGGCTGGGGCCCCATCACGTCGGAGCTGGTCCACGTACATGTAACACTGACTCTCTTCTAACGGGAAAGGGGCCAGGCCTTTGGCTCTTGACCACCTGATGTACAGCATCATTGCGCTCAGCCTCACTTGCAACGCGCCGTTCTTCTTCTTGGCGAACACGTCTTCGAGCACCTCATGTCCATGCTGCTGGATCATCGCCTCGGCCTTGCTGTACTCACCAGCCTCAGCCACCACTACCTGCCAGCCCATGAGCACCTTGTCTCGTTCATCCTTTTGCGCCCTGTCCCAAGGCAGCTTAGCGCCTCCTCGTACCTTGAAGCTGGGCTGCAACTTCGTGTCCACCTCGGCCACGTCCTTCTCCTCAAGCTGGATGTCCATGTGTTTAGCACTCCTGGAGCTCTCCATCAAAGCTTCCATTGGCATCAGCTTGGAACTACCTCCTCAGTGAAACCCTCTTTCCCAGGGCATCTTGAGCGTCTCCGGGATGAACTTTTTCAGCTTCTGACTCTCGCTGGTGATCATGCCATACTCATCCTTCTCGATCTCCATAGGCACCACCTCACTTGCTGACGCTGAGGAGGAGGAGGCTGACTGGTACTGCAGCTTCTGGCGGCTCAGTCGGCGAGTACATCTCCGTAGGTGACTCTCTCACTGGCGTATCTTCCACCCGCATCGCTTCAAGTTCACGACGGCCTGAAAGCACTTGCAGGCTCTCAACCTCCTCCTCCTCCTCAGACACGTAGATTGGCCCCCCCGCCACCTCGTCATCCCCGTCCATGGGGGCAAGAACGAAGAAGAAGAAACTTGGTGTGGGGGGGGGGCCACTTGTTAGCCAAAATGGCCGACGGATGCACAACCATTACTTCACTAAAGTTCATTCATTGTTGCTACTTTCTCAAAATACACTATTAATACTTCGTAACAGCATGCATAATTTGTGGTCATTGACACGGGTTGTCAAGGATTCTATAGGATTCTTAAGGTACATTGACTCAGGTATTCTGCCCTCAGCCGAATTCCTTTGTTGAGGGACCAGGGGGGATTTGAACCCGGGGGGGCCCCCCTGTATGTTCAACACTTAGGGGCCATGCAGCAGGCGCACTTATATAATTAATGTAAGCGAAGATAACAACGTAGCCGCTAAATGGACGCAATAACGCCGCTAAATGGATGCAATGACGCCGCTAAATGGACGCAATGACACCGCTAGATGTACGCAGTGACGAATGCTAAGAGAACACACCAACGCGGAGCCCTGAGCCCGTCGACCCCGTCGAGCCCGCTGAGCCCGCTGAGCCCGTCGAGCCCGCTGAGCCCGCTGAGCCCGTCGAGCCCGCTGAGCCCGCTGCCCGCTGAGCCCGCTAAGTCCGCTGAGCCCGCTGAGCCCGCTGAGCTTGCGTTTCACAAACATGAGATTCAAGTGTGCGCAGCATTATAATAAAATACACCCGGCTATATCGACGCCAAGCGTTCAAGGCACGGCCCCCCCCCCAAGTGCAAAGTCATTTTGAAAATCCCAAAATCAGGTCATGGAGGAGATAAGCTAAAGCTTATCAAACTCAAGGTTGCCTAGCAACCTTTGGTGACATAGCAGCGCGATCCAAACTTATGAATGCGTCATTGAAACTTTGGATATGCTTATGGCTACCATGAGACCACGGGATTGCAGAATTCCAATAGAGTTCGAATACAGTAAGAAACTTTTGCGCCCGAACAGCAACTGACTGCGTCTCAATGCCCCCCCCACACACAGCTTGTCGTGCCATACCCTGCCTATATTCATACGTGCAGTGTTGCGGGCGATGCCCCCATGCACCGTGCCATTGACAAGGGTGAGTTAATGTTCAGCATCACAACAACTGTTGTTGTGGCGAGTGGGGCTTCCTATCGAGGGAGTGCTGTGGCGATCCAATGATCGAGACCCGCCACTGATCCGAGCCTCGTTGATGCAATGATCCGAGTGTTGCAGGTCTAGTCTAGTATAGTCTAGTGTTCCCCTGCAGATCAAATCCACCTTTGAAGAGGGGGAGCGTTAACTGAACAATGAATCAATTCAAGGGGGATGGGGGTTGGAAATTGATACGTCCCAAACCATTGGTGTAAAGAATTGCCTTTCGCAGCAGGGGTGTCAATGATTAGACCTGGACGACCCCACACTTGACTCGCAAGACAAACTCCAGGTATCCCCCTGCGCTAGGTCCCACAAGAGTGTCTTCACAACCGTAGCGCAATGTCAAGCTAAGCAAGACTGTCTTTCAAGCGTGTCCCACAAGACTGTCCCGAAAGAATGCCGTACAGAAGTGACACTCTTGTAGGACATTGTTTTGGGACACTCTTGTGGGACACCCTTGTGGGTGTCCTACAACACTGTCCTACAAGAGTGTCCCTGCAAAAGTGTTGTACAAGAGTCCCCACTGGTATATCTTCTAATATCAAGTAATTAATCACACCCACGCTATCTTGGCAGTAGCACCATTGTGATCGTCATCATGCTTATCATAATGATACCTACTGTGCTTTCGGGACCTAGTGTCATCTACATATATATATATACAGTATACAGTTGCATAGTTTTGCTTGTTTGCATGTGCATTGCATGTGCTTCGCCCTGCATCTTTTGACTCGAGTTGGTGTGCAATGAGCAACACATGCTGTCTTGCATGAAGCCACAACACCATGCGGCTGAAATCCTGCAGTAGGCAGCCGAGCTGCCTCTTCCTGTGGCAGCAACACCGCTAGCACCTGTTGCAAAGGTCATTTCAAAGCGGGCCTTATTTGCTGAGATTCATCTCGATGATGCTCGCATGCATGCAAGTGTAGTGCGTATGTGACGTGATACATACTTTCTGTGCAGTTGACAACTATAGTCAAAACAGGTACTGGAACGGTACAGTCTTCACTTCTGGCACAAACTCTCCTGAAAGACGCGACCGGACTGCAGGGCCTGCAATGCGTGCTCCATCAAAAGCCCAAAAAGTTCCGGAGGAAGCTCCAAGGGCAACAAGGTCAAGGAGCCTTGACACTACACGTACACAAAAATGGCACACGACACGGTCGACGTTTACAAATTACAAAACAGACACATATACGTATCTGTCTCTCTCTCTATGTATATATAATATACAGTATATATTGGCGGTCAAATAGCTTCAGTGTCTTTGCAATCTTCCCTTACTAAAAAACATTTATGGACACTTCGCTGCAAAAAGAACTTGCTGTCTGCATGTGTCCACATTGTATCATTGTAGGCAAAAGGACTTATGGAAACCATGCTGGCTCAGGTCACGACCTATGGCATCCAAGGATGGGCAAATCCTCGCAGTGAGCGGGTTGTTGTAAATTGGCACTGGAAAAAGTTACCCTAGGTTGGAGACCATTGCTAGTAGGTTGGAGGCCACTGCCTTTAGGTTGGAGGCCGTTGCTAGTGGGTTGGAGTTGGAGCCATTGCTATTAGGTTGGAGGCCATCGCTATTAGGTTGGAGGCCATCGCTAGTAGGTCCGATGCCATTGCTATTAGGTTGGAGGCCATTGCTATTAGGTTGGAGGCCATCGCTAGTAGGTCGGAGGCCAATGCTATTGGGAAATCGAGGCCATTGCTATTGGGTTGGAGCCCATCGCTATGAGGTTGGAGGCCATTGCTATTGGGTTGGAGGCCATTGCTATTAGGTTGCAGGCCATCGCCATTAGGTTGGAGCCCATTGCTATTAGAAAGGCCATGGCTATTAGGTTGGAGGCCATTGCTGTTTTGTTGGCACCCATGCTATTAGGTTGGAGGCCATTGCTATCAGAATGGAGCCCATTGCTGTTAGGTTGGAGGCGATCGCTAGAAGGCACAAGGCCATTGAGGCCATTGCTGTTAGGCTGGAGGCCATCGCAAGCAGGTTCAAGGC